GACGACAGAGGATGAGATGGTTGGATGGCATCACTGACTCAATGGACATGAGTCTGAGAAAGCTCCAGGAGTTGGTGATGGACAGGGAGGCCTGGCATGCTGCAGTCCATGGGGTCGCAGAGTCCAACACGACTGAGCGACTGAACTGAACTGATTAGAACTTTGAAGTAGTTTTACTGCCTCTTCACTATCTCTCTTGCCTTATTTCCTTGTTAATACTTTCCTCATTTGTTCTGCTTCAGTCACACTGGCTGCCTCACTGTTCCTCAAATATCTAGGAATAAATCTACCTCTGGGACCTTTGCACTTGCCTTCCTTTTTCCTGGACTCTTTGTCCCTAGATGCAAGGCACATGTCCTCTCTTCTTCCAGGTCTTCACTCAAAGGTCACTTCTCTGGGAGTTTATTTTCTGGCTCACCAGTTTAAAATTGCAGTCTCTTCCCATCACATCTCATCTCATATCCTGTCTATACTGTCTTTATTTTCTTAGTAGTTATCTCTTTTTAACATGCTATATACTGTACATTTATCTTTTATTATTGTTTCCCCAAATTAATTATGAACTCCATAAAGATAGAGATTTTGGTCACTTTTGTTTGTTGCTGTATCCCCAGTTCTAATGACAGCACCTAGCGCATAATAGCTGCTCAATAAATATTTGCTAGTTAGTGATATGTACCCCGTTACTTCCATTTGCAAATATAAGAGACTGGACTCACTCCCTGTCAGAAAGGTTTTTCTTCCTCTGCTATTATGTAGTCTGGATGAGCTCTCTTTTCTTCTCATCGTCTCTATTCTACGTGAGAGCCTTCCAAGTAGTACACTTGTCTGTTCCGTTCTGCTCTTTCTCTGAAAGGACTAGGTGGACTAGGGTAATGGTTTAAATTTTCTATGTTAGGTTTCAATACTTTAAATCTGTTAAAATGATATTTCCTTTTCTATCAGCTTGTAGCTGAATTCAATGCAATAATACAAGCGAAAAACACTTATACATGGGACACAGCATAATTCATATTTGAGAAAATTATGTTTACTTGTTCTCTTCCTTTTTCTACTTTAGAGTTAGAGGTTTTAAGGAAAATTCATGGAGGTAATAGCTCACTGATGCAATAAGGTGGAGTGAGGCAGTAAAAATACTGAAATAATAGTGAAGTGTCTGTATTAGCTTCTAAGGCAGATGAATATAAACATACCCAGGTGACTTATTCTTCACAACTTTCAATTTCCACCGATCTTCTTCCTGGTTGTTGCTTATCTAAAGAAATTATGCTGGCGAGTTGTTGAGCATTGTGCCTTTCTAAGGTTGGATGTCTTTGGAAAGATTTCTCCAAATGAAGTGTCTGATTGTTTTCTTCAAAGAGAATATTGTGGTTTCTTCATTGTAGCTATTTCCCAGTCCACATGTTACATCTGGATTTCCTGTCTGCTTAGATTACTGCGAGCCAGTTAATTACAGCCTGCGCAATGTGAAGCAGATGTGTTTAGCACATCTTTGAAACGGGGCTTTGGGAGTCCTATGGGGTTTGATTAAGGACTGCAGCATTCCTGGGAGCTTTCCCCAACTGGAAGCCTATTCTGTATATGGACGCACTGGGCAGCCAGGGTGATTATACAATCAGTGGCTGTGCAGGAATGTGTGAGCACACACCTGTGTGCCTCCAGTGATGATGGATCAGTTCTTGGATCTCAGGTCGCTCAGAGGTACAAAGAGAGAAAGCAAAGTCTCTAACAATAGTCTTTGTTGGGCCTTTCTCATACCATTTTTGTCCTAACTGTGGCTCCTTGTTAGACTTCGATTCCTAGGATCTGTCGTTTTGTCTGTGGCTGTTGTATGTCACTACGAACAGTTCTTTTTTAATCCCCAAGATGAATATCCAGATAAAGTCAATGAGTGCTCTCTCTGGTAGCACATACACTAATATCGGAAAATCTAGAGAAGCTGAGCGTGGGCTCTGCACAAAATTAAGTCAACAAGGTACTCAAATTGCTAATTTTCAAAGTAGAAATGTATATTATCTACTTGAAGTAACTGAATGCATAATCCTTTCCATTGCCCTTAAAAGCTAGTCAAGATGATCACACAGAAGAAAAGAATATACTTTAAAATTTTTGTTTATTTTTTAATTGAAGGGTAATTGCTTTACAGAATTTCGCTGTTTTCTGTCAAACCTCAACATGAATCAGCCACAGGCATACATGTGTCCCTTCCATCTTGAACCTCCCTCCCACTTCTCTCCACATCCTGTCCCTCTAGATTGTTCTAGAGCCCCTGTCTGAGATCCCTGAGTAATACAGTACATTCCCATTAGCTATCTATTTTACACATGGTATTGTAAGTTTCCACTTTTCATAGTTGTTTTATACTCATAAACAAGACAGTTGAAGGTTGAAGATTATGAATATGTAATCACTATGAAAAGATGGTTAAGGACCTGGGGAAGGATGTATAATGTCAGCTTCATTGTTGGTTAGTTGCTAAGTCCTGTCTGACTCTCTGTGACCCCATGGACTGTTGCTTCCAGGCTCCTCTGTCCGTGGGATTTCCCAGGTAAGAATACTGAAGTGGGTTGCCATTTCCTTCTGCAAGGAATCTTCCCCACCCAGTGATCAAACCCGCATCTCCTGCTTGGCAGGCGGATTCCTTACCTCTGAGCCACCTGGAAAAGCCCCATAGTGTCAGCTTCTGACAGTGCTCCGGTTTCTTATGTCTCTATTTCAGAGTAGGTTTTCTTCTCACCTCTCCTTCCCACCCTCCCTTCTCCCAGTGTTATTGGAAGAACAGAGAGCCTGTGTCCTTCATAAAAATCCACACTGAGATGAGATGAAGCAGGGTGCAGTTAAGAGTCTGGTTGTGGCAGTTTGTTTGCTTTTCTTGTAGGCAGCAGATTCTAGAAGTGTCGATAGGCATTAGAGCCCCTGGAGGGTGCCTTTGTGGGTTCCGGAGCCGTCCACTGATAAGTTGCTGAGAGGCCTCACGGTGTTGAGAAGTGTGGAGAATCTGAGCTTCAGATGCCTGGAGTGGCCCTACTCATCAACTCAACTTGACAAGATATGCTCAGAAATAGCAGATTGGCTTCAGCAGCTGCTTGTCTCCAGGGTGGGAGGGCGGCAGCAGCATCTCGAAGGGGACATCTTCTTTGCTTCTGTGTCTCAGTAGCTTCTGTTCCTCTTGGCACTCTGTTCTGTCTGAGTACCTTGCTTTAAGCACCTCATTCTGCAGGGCCGCTTCCTGTCATCACCACGGCTCTTGTCTCCCTGCTCTTCAAGGGTAGCTGAGATGAGATGAATGCTCAAGATATTTTCCAAAAGGCAAAAGGAAAATGCTGCTGAATTTCCAAACCTGTGGATTTCCTCTCATGCTTTGATTGTGCTGTGGGGAGAATGCTCATGGCTGGTAGGATGCCATGTCATAAAATACCTCCCGGTTTTTTGTCATCATATGGAAATATTTGAGGATTCTTTGTTAAACATCAGCAGTGTCTGCTCTGGTTACTCACTGCTTCTGCTCAGCGGTGACCATCTGGCTTAGCATCTTAAGCATTGGACTGTGACTCAGGACCTGGGTCTTGATGTTTGAGAGTTCTTCCTCTGTTACTGATGCCAGCTGAGCTGTCATCAAAATGTGAATAATAAACTGAACTACTCTAGAAGGTAAAGAACAGTAATAAATGTATTCTAAAGTGATACAAATATGTGATAAATCATGGTGAAAGAAACACATTCCGGGTCCTTAGGAAGATAGATGTTATTTAATATTAATATTAATATTACTTTGTATCTCATTATTTTGACAGTCAATCCCTTGCATATATGTAGATGTACATTTATGTGTGTAAAGTAGCTCGGGNTGTTAGCTTGATAGGGATTGCATTGAATCTATAGATTGCTTTGGGGTAGTATAGCCATTTTCACAATATTGATTCTTGCGGGATGGGGAACACATGTAAATCCATGGCTGATTCATGTCAATGTATGGCAAAAACCACTACAATATTGTAAAGTAATTAGCCTCCAACTAATAAAAATAAATGAAAAAAAAAATAGTTCTGAAAATTTTTAGTATCAATACCCACTTGCCCCTCACAAAGACAAATCTCGTGTTCAAAATATTGTGGTAACTTCAAACTTGTATTTGCCAATAATAACAAATGCAGAGACAAATCTCATATTCAAAATATTCTGGTAACTTCAAACTTCTATTTGCCAATAATAACAAATGCACTGTTTTATAAAAAATTATAAAGTTTCAGAACTTATGATTATCATGTATTAATAATAGATGCTATTATTCTGTTATAACTTGAGACAGAGAAGACAAATTTAAAAGTTTTCGATAATCAATGCAGGCTAATTGTAAGTCTCTGGTCTTGAGGAAATAGCCAGCGTAACATAAATAGCTTCCTCCCTAGGTTTTGGGCCTTCAGAAGTCCAGGAGCAACAGATTAAGAGGAATTTGATGAAACAATTGATGAATTTAGTTTTCAAAGCAAGGTTTCTAGGTAAAAGTAGTTCTTAAAAAATTAGAATATGATACTGCTCATATATATTTTTTAAAATCTTGGTGTTACCTACTCCAGAGACTTAAGTTATAAATTACAGAAATATTTCTCCTATCACTGTTACTTACCCTGATAACATAACTTTAGGTGAATTAAAAGAAAGCATCTTTACTAGAGATTTTTCAGTGTTTACTGTCTTGTAAAACTCACAGCCACATAATTTCCATTCTTCATGCCCGCTGATCCACAACCGAGGACACTAAAGAGGCCTGTCTTTAAAAGGAGACCACTGTGTATATGATTCTAAATTTGTATCCTTAAGTTTTAAAAATGCCAATATGATATAAATCACTGGATTTGTTTCATTTTTTAAAACAGGCTTGCCCTACTTATTCCTCATGCAATGAAATTCTGTGGAGGGAGAGGGGCAGTGCAGGCGCCGAAGAAGCAATATGATCTCAAGTTGAAATATTAAATCATAAATATTACTTGTTTCTCCAGAGACTGGATCCCCAATTACAGCATCTTGCATTGGATTGGGTAATTCTAAAACACCTCCTCCAGGGCAAGCAGGAAAAAGTGTTCCAGGATACAATGGTGAGAAATTACCTTGATTACTTGAAATATTTAATGTTAATAAATTTGGTATTTTTATGTATTTAGTGTGAATCATATTGATTGAAATGTATTAGGTGCTTAATAAGTATTTGATTGAGTGAATGTCTTGTATTAAAAATGTCTAACTTTTTGTGACAACTTTTGTTATTAGCCAATTTTATCAGAAGTAATACTGTAGACTTCTAAGGGCATGTTGTAAATGACTGTCAAAATATAAGGCAAGTTAAGGACCTGTGGGCTTCCTAGTGGCACTAGTGGTAAAGAACCCGCCTGCCATTTCTGGAGACGTAAGAGACATGGATTTGATCCCTGGGTTGGGAAGATTCCTTGGAGGCGGGCGTGGCAACCCACTCCAGTATTCTTGCCTGGAGAATCCCTTGAACAGAGGAGCCTGGTGGGCTATCGTCCACTGGGTTGCAAAGAGTCAGACACCGCTGAAGCTACTTAGCGTGCGTGCAAGCACCTATGTGAGAGATTAATACTTACGGAATATATGCTAGGTGCTGAGTACTTTGCATACATTATTTCAATTAATGATGAGTTTATTTAATTTAGTGATATTATTCCCATTTTAGCCATGAGTTAGCTGGTGCCTAGAGAGACTAAATAACTTTACTAAAGTAATTCAGCTGGTTACGTCCTGTCGACAGTGCAGACCATTGTGTTTTATTTTGTTTGTTTGTTTCTGGATTAAAAGCTGCAGTTCTTCCCATTATATATATTATCTTTTATTTTAGGGGTGATGATAAAGTTTTTGAAACTTGTTGGCTAGAAGATGAATATGAAGAGTAAGGATTCTAAAAAGAAAAAAAAATGTTTCATCCTTGTTGGCAGTATGTGACAATAAGATACACTATCTTTTCCATCTTAAGTTTTTTTAAGTCATCAGTAGTGGTTGTAATAGTTCAATAATTTCCTCTGGATTTCACCTCTTGTTGTATATGTTATATAAAGTGACTTGTGTTAGTTATACTTTATTGTACAAGTCAAACATTCAATTTCCTTATTTCTAAACAGGAATAATAATTCTGTATGCTTCATAGGGTTGCTTTTTGTGATAGAACACAATGAAGCACTAACACAGTGCCTGCTGGTAGGAAAACTGAGCTAAGTCTTAGCAAGTAGGGTCATTAATATTTCAGAGAAGCCAGAGGGACTGACTTGTTTTAGATGTACACATTCATTTTACAGACAAGAAAAATGAGATACAGAAGTTATGCTATTTGCATAAGGTCACACATTTAGCTTAAACCCAGCATCTGGAAAGAGAATAATTCCTGCATACAGTTTGTATTTGCATGTAAATTACAAAGTGTAGAGATTTGTCTTTTACTTCTCTAGTATAAAAATATATTTTCTTTCTAGGACAATGACTGGTTAAAGATTATTTGGTTTAGCCTAGCAGATATATTTATAAAAAGACACAAGTATTTTTTTTCTTTTTTAAGTGTAAGAATAGATACTTTGTGAAGTTGTGACTTTTCCAGGCATGGAAGGGTGAACCCAACTTCAGTGAAATCCTCCCTTTGAACAGTTCTATCATCTCGACTCCTTTTATCAGAAAAAATGCTTTTGTGTTGGGCCATTTTTAGGGGCTGATGACTGTGGGAGATGTTGACTACACTTCCCTTTCAGTGTTTCAGTACCATTTTTATATCTAGTTATAAGAAAGAGTTAAAGCTTTGATGTCTCATGGAATTTCAGTACAGACATTTCTCACTGTCTGAAAGTCATTGGCTTACAGACAGCACAGCTTAAACACTAGAACTAAAGTATAACCAAGGAAATAAAGACTTTATGACTCATGATTTTTATGTTTTGTGGTTATTCAGAGATTCAAAAGTATAATGTAACATTTAATATTATAATGAAAAAGCCATATCCTTTTGGGAAAGGAAAGAACACCATTTTGTGTAAAAAATATGCAATGTAATGTAATACTTAATCTCTCATTCATTTAGTATGTTATGCAAGATTGTCACTGAGTTTTCTTTTCAAGTGATTATTGTACAACACTATGAGAAGGGAATTATTTCCAGTTTTTAGATAGAGAAATTGGAGGGGTAATAGAATGAGAATGTGTTCCAGGGCACCTAGTAAATTGGCCGCTGTGCTGAGATTTGGGGAAACAAAGGTGATTATCACGCATCATGGCCTCACCTTTAATGAGCTCACATCTAGAGGGACAGATACTGACACCGCTGGTGACTGTTAGAACAGAATAGTGTTCTGGGAACAGAGATGAGAGCGATTAACTTTTTTTTGGAAATAATGCTCTTCTTCTCTGATCGGTCTTTTGAGTAGAATAACTTGGCTGGATGATGCCACAAAAAGGATCTATTAAAGCTTAAAACATAATGATATATTCTTATTTCTAGTTTGTATTAGGTTACTGCTGTGGGTACAAGCTTCGGTTTCCTAAAACCCTTCAGGGTTTTAACAGTATAGCACAGAACACATTGGGATAATATTTGGGGAGGTTAAATTGACCTTTAAAGCTCATAAGTGGATATTAAGCCTTAAATCAGAAAAAAGAGTTTGCCAGGCTTTTAAATTCTTTATTTTTATTGTTCAAAATATGTTTTGGTTATATTTTAAAACTTTGTATCCTTTAATTTGAAAAGCTGTATGTATTTTTAATATTTTTGACAGAATGAAAGGTTATGTTTGAATGGGTATAAACATAGATTTTAATATTACCAGCATGTTTAAAATACTGTGTCTTTATTTAAGGAAGGCTCTGAAGAAAATGAATTATCTCATTAAAAATCAAAAACATGTACACTTTAAATTTTCTGAGACATTTTAGCTTATTTACATATGTTCATGATCTCTCACAAGGATGCCTTTTTTAAGCTAGAGTTTTGGGAGATTGAATATAGAAAATATGAAAGCTTTCAAGCTTTGAGGTTATTTATTTTTATTTGTTTACCTATATTTTAATTTGCAGTTATGATTTTGGATGACAACATGCAAAAACTGAAGCCTCGGTGTTTAGGAAACATTGTGGTAAAGTAAGAAAAATTTGCCATCTATTATTTAAAAGAGCAAGAATTGATATATAAGATTAAGAAAAAATAGAGTGGTTGCAATGGTATTACCAGTGAAGCGGTTGCAGAAGAAGCTTGTGTGTTGTTTGAGAATACTCATTGCCTGGTCTGGTAATTTAAACATGGAAGCCCCGTAAAGTGGAATCAATTTAGATACGATTTTTAAAAAGATAAACCTCGCAACTTTCAAAAAATGTTTCTGATTATATGAGTAATGCACAGATGATAAAATTAATATGAATACCAAAAATATAAAGAATTATATAAAGTTGTTATACTGCAACCCTTCAGTAATACAGTGTTAATGTTGTCATATATATATGACTTTTTTTTGGACAAGCATTTTAGATTGTTGAAATTAGTTTATTCTCATATATTCCTGTTTTTACTTAGCCCTATCTTACAGCATTTTAAATTTTTATCTGCCCCTTAAAAATGTTTATCCCCTTTCTAGGCCTCTTAGTCTTTTTTGAATATTATGACTATAAATAATGCTGTATGGAATATCCTTTTTGTGTTGTCTTTTCTGATAATTACAATGTTACTGAATAAATTTCTAAATGTGTAATTAGTAGCATGGGTCAAATAGTATCATGACATGTAATTCCTGACTCTTCAGGTACCACAGTTCCTTGCTAACAGTTTTCATCATTGTTCATTTGACAGATAAAATGTTAGAATTTATCATAAAAATATTCAAATTTACTTCGGTTGAATCAATACTTTGAAATTGTTAAGCTTGGAGCAGCTGAAATGGAAGTTAAGTTAGAGACACAATTATGTGACATTTTAATAACTCATACAGGTAGCTTTAGTGCCTCTGATTTGCACGATGTTGGCATCTTTACTGACATGTGTTAAGTAGTAGAATTTGCCAGAATGAGCTGTTATAAGTAAAGAACATTGCATGTGTTTTTTTGTTTTGTTTTCTATTTTTTAAAAAAAAAACTCTTTATTACTTGGCATTCTCAGATTGGTATAAACTTTTTCTCAGGTTAATGAACATTATAAGTTCTTTAAAGGCTAAATGAGAAGTAGTAATTTTTAAAAGCCTGTGTTTTTCTCAGGGAGAGATGCTGTAACCTTACGAAAATCTATAGAGGAGATGCACCTTATGATACAGTTCTTCTCAGATTCCTATTGTGATCAGTAAACACAAAAACACCTTATTACTATTTTAATTTAAATTTTAAGACATGTGTTGGCAGATGGAAAAATTAATTCTAAATATGTCATTTGTATTCATATTTTTCTGAATAGGAATCCATATTAACATAGAATTGATTGAAATCTTTCAATTAATTGAAATTGAAAGCGGAAAAGTGTTAGGGACAAGGGGAGGGCTTACTAAATGATAAATCTGAACAAAATTGTGGGTGAATGTCTAGCTCACTTAGGGAAGTACATGGTTTGTGAGAATTTTTAAAAGCACTCCAGCAACTTACATTTTTATATCACCCCTAACTCTAAGTGAGTCATCTGTTTCATAAAGCAGTGCTTGCAAGATCCCAGAGGTAGCGTTTGATGCCAGTGTAGTTTTAATCCCTCATGCATCCTGCCACTCTAATTACTGGTGGCTTCACCCCACAACCATTCCAAAATAATAAAGCAAATAAACTATAATTTTTTTTTCTCATACCCATTAGTGTTACTTCAAGTACTTGAAAATGACACAACTATTGTCTTAAAACATTCTGTGCTTTAGATTGTCTCCAATTCAGAATGATTTTTTCCCCCTCTCTGTTCAGAAACAGGGAATTTTATTGTACAGATTCGGGATTCTGAGATTTCATTATAAATTATTTGATGATACAGAATATTATGACATGCAGTGGACTTGGATTCCTCCCTTAGGTTAATAGTGAAACTAGATGTTTGTAAATATTTTGTATATATATATATAATTATATTAAATATATATATATAATTATTTTCAAAAAGTAAGGTAGAAATAATGAGAAAAAAACCCCCCAAAACAGTTAACACCAATATCTCTCTTTTTTTAAATCTCAGACTCTTGAAACCTTATTTCAGAACTCATTTTTACCTGTGATAGTAAGGATTTCATTTTGAAACTCTCATCTGCAGTAGCCATTCCATTCTGACTCATTGACCTGAAAATTATTCACGCATCCCAATAGTTGCTTGCAGTATGCATAGGGTATTTCATATTTAAAGTCTATCAAGACTTGTGTGTATTCATCTAGAGCTATTCTGTGTGCCTTGAGGGGACGTATCATTCATCCAGAGTGGAAAATGTCCAATGAATGCTTTTTAAGAGCACACAATAGGTATATGTTTAATTGAATTAAGGGAAAAGCACACCTTCTTGACTTACAAACATTACTGTGTCTTAAAAAAGCTGTGTAGTTTGAGGAAAGAGTAATTTTCCAGGTAGATCATATTCTAAAGAAGGTCAGTCATCTGAGAAGCAGGGTCCTTTCCAGGGACCAGCAGCTACCTGGGTCCCCAGAACCGCTTGATGGCTGTGGGCTTCTTTTATGGTAAAGAATTTGCCTGCAGTGTGGGACGCCTGGGTTCAGTCCCTTGGTCGGGAAGATCCCCTGGGGAAGGGAATGGCCACCCACTCCAGTATTCTTGCCTGGAGAATTCCGTGAACAGAGGAGCAGGGCGGGGCTACAGTTCATGGGGTCGCAAAGACAGGACTGAAGTGACTAATGCTTTCACTTTCAAAAGGTTTTTGGTTAAGGATTATATATGGTGTCTAAGGTTCACAAAATATCTGAGCTTCTAATCTTTAAGAAATGTGTTGACTCAATACATTGTATTTCTTAACTGTACTGAGAAATTAAAATTTTATAACATTTAACATCATAACAACTTCATTGTCAATATAGTCTTCATAAATATTTCATTTTATTTGCAAACATGTAGGTTGTATTTTCTTCCCATCATTCCTGAATCTGTACGGTGATTGTTAGGAAATAGTAATCAATGGTAAACTATAGGTATGTCTACTTGCTATATGATTTCAAAAGGAAAATATAACCTTTTCTTTTTCAGAAAATGTTCTAGTTTGTATGGTGTATTGCTATATTTTATTATCTTTGCATGGATATAAAATAGGGTCACCAATAATAAGAATCACTCAGTTCATGAGGGACTTAAAACTGACCTGGCATTAAAAGCCATTGTGGGGAATGACTGCCAGTCAGAGTTAGATGTCATTCTTCTCCATTATTCCTACTTACACTTTTCATTAGTACTTGTATAATAATTAAGAGGAATATTCTTTAAAAGAACAATATTCTGTAATGCTGTTTATGTTCACTAATTATACTTGCAGTGATTAGAAAGAATAGAGAGAAAAATCTGCATTTGATATTTGAAATGTATGGGGCTCAAACTACATTAAAGTAATTCAGTAAAAAAATATATATTATGTCTCACTGTTTTAATCCCAAATTTGTTTGCGTTTTGTAAATACAGCTGTAGCTTCTTGTTGCACTGTAAAATCTGTTATGACTAGTGTAAATGATATTTGAAATTATCTTTCTCTGGCAGTTTCTTTAAAATCTGAAGCTATAATAATATGTCCAAGTTTTACAAGGTGCTAAGCATAATGATTCATTTTATCATGTTACAATGACTCATCCCCAAATCAGAAATAATAATATGTTGGAATTTTGAAAAAAGCCTCTTGATCCACTTTTGCTCTTTTAACTTCCTTTGTTAAGGCTTTCTAAAAATCTCTGCTTTTCTACTGAGGATACCTAGCGAGAAGGTAGACATTATAGTGATTCCTAAACTACCGTAGATCCTATGATGTAATAAACATGAATCTTACAGTTCTTGTAGATTTCTTGCTTTCAAAGAATTTATCTTTCTATAAGAAGAGAAAACGACATGCCTGCATGGAGGTAGAAAATTCTTTTGATTTTGAAACTTACTCCAGGCAGTTAATTTTGTGGGTAAGTTATGATATCTGAATTGCTATGAATACAGAACGTTCATGAATTTTAGAAGGTTTTTCTGTAATTGCATCCAGAGCTCCAAAGTACGGAAATAAAACTATGAATCAGTAATTTCCAGGCAACAGCGTGCAGGGCATGAAAGAAAAGTCGAACTGCAGTTGCCTTCCTCAGTGCCACAGCGCTCACTGTTATTAAAGCCAGAGGTCTCTGACTCCTCCTGACTCGTGGACACACATTTTTCTTTGACCAGACAGGGTTGTTGCTCTCGGAAGCGCAGCTTGTCTGCCTCTGCTGTGTCCTGCTGGCCTGTGCCCGGCAGGCAGTAATGGGGCGCCAGGGACTCAGATGGCCTCGTCTGAGGGGCTTTTCCTCTGGTGCCTGCCGGTTTCTCAGCCTCCAGATATTGAACACTTGGTCCTTATTGTTTGTTCACATCTTTACAGTTTGGCAAGAGTGACTTGGTCACTCACTGGGCTGCCATCTTGGGAGAAGATCAGGATAACTTTGGTTCACCAGTGTATCCTTTGACTAAACCAGGGGTGGCATGGAGTTGTTACCCCATTCCTTCCTACATCTCCTATGCAGATTTTCGTATGATCTTTTTTTAGCCTTAAAACAACACTGTGAGTTAGGCAGTGGGACATGTATTATCTCATTTTTTATCTAAAACATCATCAAAATCTAAACATCATTAATAGTTATACAGCTACAACTCAGCATTTCTGACCCAGTTGTTTGTCTAGCCAGAGAGAAAGAAATTGTGGCCTACTAAGTCACTGCTGGGGAGATGAAAAATAGCTTCATGGGAAAATCTCCAGTATAGCCTGAAGACCTCACAGGAAACTCTGAGAGTGCCAAGTTGGGATCTGCCTCTAGAATTCTCTAGGGAACAGGAGTTTTGTCTTCAGTTTATTTCTGCTACAAATTCCTGACGGAGTATTGAATATAGACCATCCTTTATGTGGGATTGGAGGCACCTAGGAGTTTTATCTTTCAGATTGGTCAGGGATGGTTACCTTCTACA